AGATCAGAGCATAAACTTCGTCTCCTCTGCAGACCAGACTTAAACTTTCCGATAGGGAATGTAATCAGATACAGGCGTTTACACGGATATTATTCTTCTATTTAACGGATTATTTACAGGATTACTCACCTCGTTTAATCGGATAGAAACTATTCTGAAAGGTCTCAATCAGACTAGTCTATTCCGATTGAGGTGTTTACATGGACGTATTGTGTTTAGGTTGAGTTATTAGTCAGATTAGGCTGAGTGTGAACGTGGCTGGTGTATTCCGAGTTTAAAATAAAGGTTGATTAATGCGACCTTGAGCTTTGGAAAGGCACTATGTAATAAAATATGTTATTATTTATTGTTTTTTATTATTATTTTTATTATTATTATTATAGTTATGCCACTTCTTCCACCACATCCTGAGCCATCGGGGCAGATTCCACAGCACTCAGGTAATGAGGGCGTGTTTACTTTTGAGCTATATGGTTTGTTTTGTTTCCTGCAGGTTCTCTGGACACCACTGAGCCCGTTTACTCTCTGAGAGCCCAAGCGAATAAAGAGGCCTCCTCTGAAAGCCCCTCAGCTGCTGCCAGACGCCTGCCAGGTAACGTCCTGCACACCTTCACGCCACGTTTAACGGAACCCTGTTCACTCCGACTACGAGGCTGATGTAGCCGACAAACAGTGGAACATTATAGCCCAACAATTATCATCACTCACCTCAAACCGCGGCACGTCATCTCTCATAGACTTGCTTATGTGTCCAGTGTGCTGAATGACCAACTGTTACACTCTTAAAAAAGATGGTTCTCCAAGGGTTCTTTAGTGGACAGTAGTTCTACATAGAACATGAACGCTTAAAGTACCTTTTGCATGGTGAAATGGTTCTTCAAATTAATGGAGAATGTGTTGTATATGGTTTTATACAGCACCAAAAGAGGGTTCTGCTATTGTTACAAGCTTGACATCATAAATAGAAGAACTCTTTTTGGTGCTATGTAGAACCCTTTTCAAGAACCATGAATACTGAAAGAACCCTTTGCGTGATTAAGTTGTTCTTTGCATTGTAAAAGGGTTCTTCAGATTGATGGAGAATGTGCTGCAGATGGTTCTATATAGCACTAAGAAGGGTTCTGCTATTGTTATGATATCAACTTGTTACAATAGAAGAACCTTTTTTGGTGCTATATAGAAACATCTACGGCACATTCTCTATCAGTCTGAAGAACCATTTCACCATGCAAAGAACCATTTAATCATACAAATAGTTCTTTAAGTGTTCAGGCTTCTATATAGAACCATTGCCTTTTACTAAAGAACGCTTGAAGAACCATCCTTTTTTAGGAATGTAGCTTAGCAGCTGGGCCTGAGCGCCTTCGAGATGCTTTCATAATGACAGAAAATGCAATACACTCTTAAAAAGATGGTTCTTCAAGGGTTCTTTAGTAAAGAAAATGGCTTTATATAGAACCATGAACAGTGAAGGAACACTTTGCATGATTAAGGGGTTCCTTTGCATTGTAAAAGGGTTCTTCGGGTTGATGAAGAATGTGCTGTAGCTGGTTCTATATAGAACCTTTATGATAATGGTTCTATATAGCACTAAGAAGGGTTCTTCTATTGTTACGATGTCAAGCTTGTTACAGTAGCAGAAACCTTCTACAGCACGTTCTCCATCAGTGTGAAGAACTCTTTTATGATGCAAAGAACGCTTTAATCATGTGAAGAGTTCTTTCAGTGTTCATGGTTCTATTGTCTTTTCTAAAGAACCCTTGAAGAAGCATCTTTTTAACAGTGCATGTCATTTTTTTTTTGAAAGCTTGTCAGAGGTGCTCGGGCCCAGCAGTGGTTCTTTGCATCGTAAAAGGGTTCCTCAGTCTGATGGAGAATGTGCTGTAGATGGTTCTACACAGAACCTTTTTGAAAAGATTCTATGTAGAGGAAAAATGTTGGATTGTTAGAACATCTCACAATACTTTTCCTTTTCCTTTTTGACAGTTAAAACAGAAATAGAGCCCCTTTTACTCGAGTAATACTTTACAGAGGGTACTTTTACTTTCACACATGTGCTAGCTTTCTGTATTTTGTCCAGCGCTGTTGGCTGATGGACTGTGTTTGTGCTAAGGTGAACAGAAAACTGTACATTTGATTTTTTCACTAAACCAGGAGTCGCAACCCAAATGTTAAGAAGAGCCATTTTGTCCTTTCAACCAAAATCAAACCACCTCAAGAGCCACAACACTTTATATCCATTCTACCATCTTGGCTGTAAATATGTCTCAGTATGTAATGATGAACTAGTATAAACTAAAAAAATAAACAAAAACACAGACTGACTTTGCTCTGCTTTAAGCTTTAGATCAGCTACAGCTGCTTTTCTCGCATCTCCAGCAGGAAACTTTTCCAAAAGTAGAACAGTTTCTTGTAAAACATCTCTCAACACTCGACTTTTACGAGGCTGAAGTCGCTTCTCATTCACCAGCTTATTGTTCTAACTTTCTCATTCCACCTTAAATGGTGCCTGAGGCACCAGAATGTAACTGCTGCTCCATTTAAGGTGGAATGGGACAATTCAAACGAGAAGCTGGCGAATGAGAAGCGACTTCAGCTTCGTGACTTTTTAGTGTTTGTCAGTTTCTCACTGCAGATTAAACGTATCAGGAAACCAGCTGGAGTGATTATAAACACTAATCAGTCCATTAATCTCCAAATTATCGATGTTCATCTAAAATCTCTCTCTTTGCTGTTTCGTTAGCTACTAGCTAGGCCAGACTGTTGTCTGTGTTGCTATGGTGACCAGCAGTCTGCGCTGATCTTCAGGGTTAAAGGGTGAATCAGCAGTTCTACATTAACTCCAGAGTTTAAGACCATTTATTGTTAAACTGTGTTGAACGATCAGCAGAGCTTTATTTTACTGTAAAGGAGGATTATTTTATTTTTACCTACAAATCTGATTCTTGTTTCGTTTGCAGGTCAGAAGCTGTTCCGGCGCTCCGGCGCGGGCTCCGACACGTTCAGCGAAACCAGCTCAGTCTGCCACCTGGAGGAGCCGTTCAGAGAGCCGCTGCCCGCCGAAACGTCTGAACACGCTGAGAGGGAGGGGGAGGTACCGCATGACCCTCCCCTCCGCTTAGAGGAACCCTCAGCTACAGACCAGCGCGTCCCCGAGAGCCAGGGGGAGGAGCCTGACTCCATCAGATAGAGATTACTCCATTGAAGGCGAAGTGGCTGTACTGAATAAGGCGCGGAGTGATTGCCCCTCGGTCCACGACCTCGATGCCTTGACCGAGTCGCTCTAGGATTTTAGGTTAATGAAGCAGCTTTAAGTGCAAGTAATGCAACACTGGGATTCCATCAGCATGCGTTGTTCCTCACAGCCCTGTTCTCACAACCATACGTTAATGAATACATGAATGTTTTACCAGCCTAATCTCTGTCTGCCACAGATGTAGCGTATGTTCGATTACCACAGATAATCATTTCAATGTTTCCCTGAACTCACCTATAATAGAATTTGCTGAATTCTGTAAGTAAACATGCGAAAAACGTGTTTTGGTAGAACATTTTTGTACATTTGAAGACTATAAATGTACAAACAGTCAAAAACAAGAAGAAAAACTCTACAATAATACTCATTTCTAGCACCTCTATGGGATTTCCAATAGTATGTTAGCACTAAGTGGAACATTTTTTGCCATTCTAGATTGAACACAGACGTCATAACTTGTAAAAATCATCCCATATGTTGTATCTGAAGCTCGTAACAGTCATTATCATATATCTGAGCTTGTATGTACCATTTTTACAGCGACTCTTTCAGTAAAGAGTCCATAGAGCTGCTGCCGCTCTTTTACATTCCTAACAACTAATCAGAACCTGCTTAGCCTACGACTCATATTCAGTCAGTGACGTATCTAGAACTTCCAGAAGGACTAGAGCGACATACTTTGGTCCTATTGTGAATCAAAGCCTGATTGGTTGATTCCTCTGGCACTTCTTAATCATGTTGGTAGTTAATCTAATGTGTAAGGCCTTCAGTCCAGCTCCTGAAGTCCTAACCAATGAGAGAGCGGCTTGGCCGTATCTACCCAGATACCACAGATAGAACAATCCTGATTGATTAAACATAACAATTAAATAGATATATGAAATATATATTTCAAAAAGAGTGTTACTATAATACTTATAGAGTTTAAATACAGCGAATATGATTATTAAATGAAAATGAACTACAATTTTTATTAAGCATTTTCTACTTCACAAAAAATCTCTGAAGGTGCGGAACTAGCGATGGACGAAATAGCAAAAATATATCATGATACTTTAAGTAATTTTACAATACACTATATATCACAATATGTATTTTTTCAGACATCTGATCAGTTAGAACGGAACCAGTAGAGCTAAAGATACTATCAAAAACTGTCAACATGGTGATTTTAATTCAATATTTGGCACTAAATCCAGTTAAACTGGCCTAATTTCGCTCTCTTTATTATGAAACATACAGTTGTCAGTGTCTACAAGCACTGATGATATACAAGATATGCTCAGAAAAGGATATTGTGACATAATTCATTACAATAATGATATATGTTGTCTCGTCCAGCTCTGTGTAGAAGGCCTTGAGGGTTCCCCAATGTGTAAACCTGGAAATTTTCCAGAATGAAGAATTTCTGGTAATTCGTTAACAGTCAGCAATATTAATTGACTCATCCTAACATGCTCTGTTGTTGTGTAGTGGTTGTAGTTTCCGTTTAGTGCACATCGCATACTTCAAATGTGTGTTCACAGAATTCAGGAGTGTAGAAAGAGAAAAAGTCAGGCAAGTCTAGCAAAAATACCTGTAGGTGGGGCCAACTGGAGTCAAACGCGAGTTGCTTTATGAACACTGATGACAGCAGAAGCTAAACTTTTGCTCGGTTTGTGTTTGTTTTGCTCTATTTAATGGAATAAAAATGTATATTTTAGCCAGACTTGTCCGACTTTTCAGCAGCGTGTGGGCGAAACACTTTCTACTCTATTTAACCCAGATTTTTTTGCTTTACGCACCTGAAACAATCAGAATTCAGCAGCTGCACATCGACTTACATTAGAGGTGATTGAACACATGTTCTGTTGTTTTCCAAGTTCAGGGAACCGTGATTTTCAGTGGTAATCGGCCTCACGCCACAGGTGCAGAACACAGAGATTACGCTGGAGAACACTGAGATGTTCCTTTAAGAACTTCTGGCTGTGTCTCCCTGTGAAACTCCTCAGGCTGCGCACTGCCAGTTAGCGCCGTTCCTTTACTCGCTCGAGTTTACCTTATACTTCACGGTTCTTCACTGTGGAGAACCGATTCGTCTTCTTGTTTTCATATTTTCTACACTCTTAAAAAAAAGGTGGTTCTTTAAGGGTTCTTTAGTTAAGAAAATGGTTCTATAACGAACCAAGAACACTGAAGAACACTTTGAGTGATTAAAACGTTCTTTGCATCATCAAGGCTCTTCAGATTGTGTTGTAGAACCTTTTTGAAAAGGGTTCTATACAGCACCCAAAAGGGTTCTTCTGTTGTTATGATGTCAAGCTTATAGCAATAGAAGAACCCTTTTTGGTGCTATATTGAACTCTTTTCAAAACGGTTCTATTTAGAACCATCTACAGCACATTCTCCATCAGTCTGAGGAACCCTTTTACACAAATGCAAAGAACCCAGCAGCTAGCAGCTGCAGGGTCCTCTTAAAAAATATGGTTCTTTAAGGGTTCTTTAGTTAAGAAAATGGTTCTATAAAGCACCAAGAACACTCAAGAACACTGAGTGATTAAAAGGTTCTATGCATCATCAAATGCCTCTTCAGATTGTGCTATAGATGGTGCTTTATAGAACCTTTTTGAAAAGGGTTCTAAACAGCACCCAGAAGGGTTCTTCTATTGTTATGGTGTCAAGCTTGTAGCAATAAAAGAACCCTTTTTGGTGCTATATAGAAGTCTTTTCAAAAAGCCATCTACAGCACGTTCTCCATCAGTCTGAGGAACGCTTTTACGATGCAAAGAACCACTGCTGGGCCCGAGCACCTCTGACAAGCTTTCAGAACTGAAGAAAATGCCATGCACCCTTAAAATGATGGTTCTTCAAGGGTTCTTTAGTAAAGAAAACGGCTCTACATAGAACTATGAACACTGAAAGAACACTTTGCATGATTAAAGGGTTCTTCAGATTGATGGAGAATGCGCTGTAGATGGTTATATATAGAACCTTTTTAAAAAATGGTTCTACACAGCATTATTCTTCTATTGTTACGATATCTTGTCACAATAGTAGAACCCTTTTTGGTGCTATATAGAACCCTTTTCAAAAAAGGTTTTATAGAAACATCTACAGCACAGTCTTCACCAATCTGAAGAACGCTTTCACCATGCAAAGAACCCTTTAATCATGCAAAGGGTTCTATCAGTGTTCATGGTTCTGTATACACCCCTAAAAAAGATGGTTCTTCGAGGGCCCTTTAGTGAAGACAATGATTCTATATAAAACCATGAACACTCAAAGAACCCTTTGTTTGACTTTGAGTGTTCAGGGTTCTTTACAGAACCATACTCCTTCCTAAAGAACCCTTGAAGAACCTTGTTTAAAGCGCGTGGTCCACTTCGTTTGCATACTGTAAGGGCTGTTGCGATGTCAGCTTTACGATCGACAACTTTTAATCTTCTGTTTTTCTTTTATTCGTCTGTTTGCCAAAAAGAGGTGGTTTGGTTTTTGCGTGTCTGAAGGTTGAATGCGATGCTTTGAGACTCATGCAGCTGTTTCTAATCAGCTGAATGCCTTATTGCACTTATTTTGTACAGAAAGTCATAATTTAATCAGAAAAAAAGGTTTATTTATTCTGCAGGTTGTGATCTGAAAAGACTGTAGGCTGGTTAGTGACTACATTACTGTACTAGTAATCAAAGAAGAAGATGATCCGATCCGTCCGTCCTGCACCTGCAGCTGTTCTGAGTTCATTGGGTTTGCGTTTGTTACTTTGCACTCACTGGAATGGAAGAGTTTGAGAGGGTTCTGGGTTATTTTTATGGGGAAAGCAATGCGGCTCGATGTTTACGAAGGATTACTGTAGCGCCCCCTGTCGTCGTGTGATTGTCATTGTTTACTCTGTTGATTTTGTTTCATTGCACTCGAACACAAAGCCACTGGTGTTTCTGGAATATACAGAAATCTGAGTGTCAGTGATTCTGTTTCACTCATGAAGTTCTAGATCAATTTTACTGTCAGATTTCAAACGGTGAGCTTTGTTTTGTCAGTCGATCGACGTGTGATTCATTTTTGTACTCAAATAGGGGCATCTGAATAGTATATGAAGTATAAATGCAAGGGGAAGTCCACCCGTTTTTCGAAATTCCTCCATTATTAAGTGGGTAAGATGTAAACAGAGTCGTTCAGAGTGGTTTGGTGTGGAACGCTCTGTTCTACGGAAACTTACCGAGTCAGAATTGTTCACAGTGTTCACTATTTCCCATCATCAACATCCCATATAAACTCAGAAGACTCGTGGAGGTTCACTGGTGGTTCTGGATATTAAATAAAATGTCAATATTTGTGTTGTAGTCATGGCGACCCCTGGTTCCTATCACCACCACTGTAAAGACATCTGAACCATTTCACACCAAACCACTCTGAATCACACCTCACACACTGAATCATGCCGAATGTTTTTGAAAAATCGTTGGACTTCCCCTTTAACGATGATCACACTTCAGAGCCTGTTGATTTTTTTAACATAAAGAATGTTTATCTTTGTTCTTCCTGGATGACTAATGTAAATTAAGACTGGGTTCTCTTACAAAGCAGCTATTCTGTCTGTTTTTGGTGCAATAAATAATTGGGATATTTCTTGTGGACTTAAAAATATGACGTATGGCGGAGTAGATTCATTTTTATAATCACATGAGTAACTCTCTCAGTTATAATAAAGTTGATGATGCCAAAAGAAAGATCGCTCTCGAATGTTCTGTAGACGGAATGAACCGTTTCAAGTTAATGTGGCAGTATTTTTTTTAGAACCTACTTAAATAATACTTGCATTTAAATATTAAATGAAGAAATATGACGCAGTGAATGCAGAGGTTGGGCTAAGAATGTTCTGTGTTAATTAATGTCCTAAGTAAAAAAAAACTTTTTTTAACTTAGTTTTTATTTATTTTTAACAATATTACAATGTTTCCATGAAAGAAGAAGGAAAAAAGAACATTTTCCCTTTCCCATCTATATCTATACACTCTTTAATCTCAATTATTACACAAATAAGCAATAAAGGGGACCCACTCCAAAATAAAAGTTGCCAAAAACATAAGAAAATATTATTAACCAAAGTTAATAATGAGTGGAAATGATATGAGAACAGAACATGATTGTTTAAAAAATAAATAAACAAATAAATAATTAGATAAATCATTAAAAAATAAGGATTTCTCACTGCATTAGTAGATCTATTACAGAGCTCTTAGTAAATATATCTTTTTGAATTCTTAATAAGTGTGTTATTTGTTCCATTTGGTAAACATCCCACACCTTTTGGATCCATAAATCATATGTTGGAGGATCTGGATTCATCCATTTAATTGTAATACAGTTCAGAGCTACAGTTAGTAACATTCCTAGAAGGTGTTTCTTAGATCTTCCCTCTCGGTTATCCGGTATTACTCCCAGTATTGCTGCTCTAGGATCTTGTGGAATATTCTGCTGAAACACTTCCTTAAGAGCATCAAATACTTTGTTCCAGAAAGTCTGTAACTCAGTGCACAAAAGGTGAGTATGGTTTCCATCAGTATCAGTCTACTCAGGCTTTAGCGGAGCTCAGTAACACTGAGATTAATAACTGATCACATTGATTTATCAGTCTACTCAGGCTTTAGCGGAGCTCAGTAACACTGAGATTAATAACTGATCACATTGATTTATCAGTCTACTCAGGCTTTAGCAGAGCTCAGTAACGCTGAGATTAAAAACCGATCACATTGATTTATCAGTCTACTCAGGCTTTAGCAGAGCTCAGTAACGCTGAGATTAAAAACCGATCACATTGATTTATCAGTCTACTCAGGCTTTAGCAGAGCTCAGTAACGCTGAGATTAAAAACCGATCACATTGATTTATCAGTCTACTCAGGCTTTAGCAGAGCTCAGTAACACTGAGATTAATAACCGATCATCACATTGATTAATCAGTCTACTCAGGCTTTAGCAGAGCTCAGTAACACTGAAATTAATAACTGATCACATTGATTTATCAGTCTACTCAGGCTTTACGGAGCTCAGTAACACAGATTAATAACTGATCACATTGATTTATCAGTCTACTCAGGCTTTAGCAGAGCTCAGTAACGCTGAGATTAATAACCGATCACATTGATTTATCAGTCTACTCTGGCTTTAGCAGAGCTCAGTAACGCTGAGATTAATAACTGATCATCACATTGATTAATCAGTCTACTCAGGCTTTAGCAGAGCTCAGTAACGCTGAGATTAATAACTGATCACATTGATTTATCAGTCTACTCAGGCTTTAGCAGAGCTCAGTAACACTGAGATTAATAACTGATCACATTGATTTATCAGTCTACTCAGGCTTTAGCAGAGCTCAGTAACGCTGAGACTAATAACTGATCACATTGATTTATCAGTCTACTCAGGCTTTAGCAGAGCTCAGTAACACTGAGATTAGTAACCGATCACATTGATTTATCAGTCTACTCAGGCTTTAGCAGAGCTCAGTAACACTATTAAACAGTATTGCCAGTATTAAACAGAGGGATTCAGAGTGGTTTGATGTGAAATGGTTCAAATGTCTTTACAGTGGTGGTGATAGGAACCAGGGGTCGCCATGACTACAACACAAATATAGACATTTTATTTACTATCCAGAACCACCAGTGAACCTACACGAGTCTTCTGAGTTTATATGGAATGTTGATGATGGAAAATAGTGGAAAATCTGAAATAATAAGTTTTCTTTGAGGGCTATTTTGGCTTACAAGATTTAAATCTTCTCGAAACTATTGTAAAACTGTCTCAGACATCTAGCAGCGATTTCATTACTATTTCATGTAGTAACTTTCTGTGAGGGAGCTTTTAGAGGTGGACGTCTGGTTCCTATCACAACCACTGTAAACAACTCAATCTGTAAGTTTCTTCATAGCGGAGCATTTCACACCAAACCACTCTGAATGACTGTGTTTACATCTCAAGCACCTAATCATGCAGCACCTTTTATAAATTGTGCTAAAATCGGTGGAATTCCCCTTTAAAGATTCACTTTTCCGGGCGTAGCCAGGACTCAACCACTACGAGGAAATGTAGTTCTCAGAGGGGGAGGTCTGAGCTGCGCGTAACGGCAAAGCGGCTGCGACTGGACTACATTTCCCAGAATGCTCGCAACTTTTGCTTACAGCGCACACACGAGGGTTTCACTCCGAGCGCTGCTGACTCGACTCTCCCTCTCTGTCGCCCCCTTAAACCGGCTGCTTTAATTCAGCAAACCGGGGAGGAAAAAAGGCCAGGAGAAAGTTTTAGCCGTTTAAAAACCAGGGGGTGACCTTAACGACGGACTAACGGAACCAACTGCGCCTCGTCTTCGTGAATATTTGTGCTAAAGAATTCAAAAAAGAAGTAAACAAAACTGCCGACATGGACCCATCCACAGACGCTGTGCTGGATTCGTGGGAGCAGCAGGAGGAGGACGGCGAGGCCCCGGCCCCGGAAAACAGAATTTCGGACGCTTTCACCGGCCTCAACGTCAACGCCAAGCCCTTCATCCCCAACGTGAACGCGGCCGAGTTCGTCCCGGGCTTCCTCCAGAAGACACCCGCCGAAACCGCCGCATCTCCCGGTGAGGGTTCGCTTTATTCTCGCCGGCGGCCGCTTACGGTTCAAGCTGATAGCATGCTACGCTAAGCTAAGCTAAGCTAAGCGCAAGTTTGTATGGCCGAGTCTCAAATGGCTCCCTGCTCCCTATCTAGTGCCCTGCAAAGGTAATTAAAAACGGTGCCTCTGCGTCCAAACAGCGCTGTAAACGTTAGCTTTGGAGTCGTGAGGCTTGTATCTTAATATAAATGCCTTTCTATTCAACGTACAGTGAGCTGCGGAGCCCCTAAGGTGACCTGGTGACTACTTTTAACAAGGTGTGGCCTCAAGTAAATGTTATTGAGGCCACGAGTTAAGTTTTTCATAACTAGTGGCCTCAGTATTAATATTTGTGGCCACGCCTTATTAAAAAGTACACTTCGGAGGCTCCGTGGTGCACGGAGTTGCGCGTAGAGGCCGTTTTATTGGTGACCCATGTAGGGCACTACGTAGGGAGCAGGGAGCCATTTGAGATTCGGCCGAAGTTGTACGTTGCGGCTAAGCTAACGGGCTAATTTCACATTGTTAGCATCGTTGCTAACTTCACTTTTCCTCTCTTTCTCCGTGGCAAAATGGAGATGGTAGACGGGGGTCTGATTTTACACCTTTTAAAAACAAAAACCAGTAACTTTAATGGCTTGTTTTAGCTGCTAAGTAAAGGTGCATGGCTAACTTTAGCGGCTAGGAGCGGTTAAAAGCCCGCATCACACGTGTCTGCGGTGAGCTAGCGGTAGTTTAGCAGCAGTGCGGGGCGGAAAGTCGGAATTAATCGTCAACACTGTGGATTAAATGCGTTTGTTGTTGTAATTGGACCTGATCAAGCCTGTTTAGGCCTGGTTGGGGGTAAACAGGTGCTCTTATTAGCTCTCTTTACGAGTTAGACTAATGCCCACGTCATGTGACTGCAGGTTTCGTTAGTACTACTGGATTTAGTCAAGGGAGTCTAATACAGTTGGTCTTATACAGTGAGTTTAGGCAAGGGGGTCTAATACAGTGGGGTCTAGTCAAGGGAGTCTAATACAGTTGGTCTAATACAGTGAGTTTAGTAAAGGGGGTCTAATACATTGGGGCCTAGTCAAGGGGGTCTTATACAGTGGGGTCTAGTCAAGGGAGTCTAATACAGTTGGTCTAATACAGTGAGTTTAGTCAAGGGAGTCTAATACAGTGGGGTCTAGTCAAGGGAGTCTAATACAGTTGGTCTAATAGTCAAGGGGGTCTAATACAATGGGGTCTAGTCAAGGGGTCTAATACAGTAGGGTCTAGTCAAGGGGGTCTAAAACAGTGGGTCTAATACAGTGGGTCTAGTCAAGGGAGTCTAATACAGTTGGGTCTAGTCAAGGGAGTCTAATACAGTGGGGTCTAGTCAAGGGGGTCTAATACAGTGAGTTTAGTCAAGTGGGTCTAATACAGTTGGTCTCATACAGTGGGTTTAGTCAAGGGGATCTTATACAATGGAGGGGTTAATACAGTGGGTCTAGTACAGTGGAGTTAATACAGTGGCTTTAATACAGTAGAGGCAATACAGTGAGTTTAGTCAAGGGAGGCTAATACAGTGGGTTTAGTCAAGAGGATTTAATACAGTAGGGAGTAATACAGTGGGTCTAGTACAGTGGAGTTAATAAAGTAGGGGTAATACAGTGGCTTTAATACAGTAGAGGTAATACAGTGAGTTTAGTCAAGGGGATTTTATACAGTGGGTCTAGTACAGTGGTTTTAATACAGTAGGGGTAATACAGTGGGTCTAGTACAGTGGGGTTAATGCAGTAGGGGTAATACAGTGGGTCTAGTACAGTGGGGTTAATGCAGTAGGGGTAATACAGTGGTTTTAATAAGGTGAGTTTATTAGTGTTCAGCACGGTGGGCTTAATAATGTGGATGGGTGTAATACAGTGAGGTTAATGCAGTGGGTGTACTTTTAACCACCTTTGTATGTGTTAGTGCCCACAAAGGTGGTTAGAAGTCCAGGTTTGCTTCGCTGGTGGGCTGTCGTGCTCGTAGGCCTGGTCTCTTTCTTGGTGAATGGCTTAAAGTGGGGTTTTTTATAGTAGGAACTAAATAGTGCCAGTGAGCTGATTAAGCTGATATGAGTACATGTGTTGGTTTTTGTGACATCACAGAAACATTATTTTGCAAAACAGACGGTTTTTACAGCTTAGTGTCCGAACTATGGACTGGAAAGTAGGTCCTTAACAATGTTTACATACTACATCAAACTCTTTTATTAAAAACCTAAAGGAACGTTCACTTCTGCATCTCTTTAAGCCCAAATTCAAGACAGTTCTGTGGAAAATCCTCATTAAGGGTAACATTCTCCCTCTAGTAATCCTGCTTTATGGAGTAATGTAAGATAAGTACAGTGATGAATATTTGATTTGGATTTTGATATTAAATGTGCTTAAAAATGTCTCCATTCTACAGAGCTTTATTTAATATACTATGCAGCAAAATACACATTTTAAAAAGAAAATGATTGGAAAGTAGAATGTCTTTGTGTAAAATAGCTCTGTAACTGGGCTGCACATACAAAAATAATTATGGGTGGTTTATATGGCAAAAATATAAGGATATTTTATCAATATTTATTTTTTTTGAACTGACAACAAAAAAGCTCCAGCATTTATTTATGCTTTCTTATTTATTTAAATAAATGATGTTAAAAAACTATAAACATAATGATTTTTAAGTGTTTCTCTGCACTTAAATCCAGTTAAACAGGTCTAATCATGCTGTCTGTAATGAAACCTGCTGTTCCTGTGTTCTTTAAGTACTGATGACGGTCACAACACTAAAAAAGCGCATTACAACATACTGACCACCTGTGCAAAGCATGTTTCCACAAAAGCATAATCTGACACTGAGCCTCAACTATAACATTCACATCTGCATTAATTGATCACTGAATGCAGGTAAATGAGACGCACACAAGTAGAGGTGAACAACAAAAAACACTATACTTGATATTTTCTTAATACTTGGTATTTTTTTGAGGTCTGATGATTTAATTCATTAAATTAGACTTTTAATTATGTCTATTTTTTTCCCTCCAATATGTTACTTTCAGCAAATAAGCCACTCTTTTCTTTTCATTTGACTGGGCGGCGGATTGTTGTACGTGTCTGTTTGTACACGTAGTTATTTTTCAGATTAACGTCAGACCACTTTGTGTTTAGGGAATAAATTCTTCCAGGACTCTTTATGCACTATTTATTGGGCCGAGTTTTTGTTTGACTGGGTTACACTGTGAAAAGGGATTGTTTACAGTTATGGCTGTTGGGGTCTATGGAGACGATTGTTTACAGCTATTTCAGTTGGGTCTATGGAGACAACTGTTAAATTATTTCCATTGGGGTCTATTGAGACAGTGGTTTAGTTATTTCTGTTGGGTTCTATGAAGATGACTGTTTAGTTATTTTCATTGGGGCCTGTGGAGATGACTGTTAAATTGTTTCTATTGGGGTCTATGGAGATGACTAGTTATTTCTATTGGGGTCTGTGGAGACAACTGTTAAATTATTTCCATTGGGGTCTACAGAGACAATTGCTTAGTTATTTCTGTTGGGTCTATGGAGACGACAGTTTATTTATTTCTTTTGGGGTCTATGGGGGCGATTGTTTACAGCTATTTCAGTTGGGGTCTATGGAGACAACTGTTAAATTATTTCCATTGAGGTCTATTAAAACGATTGTGTAGTTATTTCCTTTGGGGTCTACGGAGACGAATGTTTAGTTATTTCTAATGGGATCTATGCAGTCGATTGTTTGCAGATATTATTTTAGGGATCTGTGGAGTCCACTGTCTAGATGTTTCCTTTAGGGTCTATGGAGTCGACTGTTTACAGATGTTTCTTTTGGGGTCTATGGAGACGACTCTTTACGGAAATCTCTATAGGGGTCTATGAAGTCAACTGTCTACATGTGTTTGTTTTGGGGTCTGTGTTGTTGACCGTTTACAGATGTTCCTTTGGGCTCTGTGGAGACTGTGCATAATTTAAATTAGCCTGAAATCAAAACGTTTTGTAAACGACGTTCGATATAAATCAAGCCATACAGTCGTAAGCAAAAGTTCTGGCACCCTGGTCAAATTCCACGTTGTTAATCGTGTAAGTGAAAAACTCTTAGACCGTCTGATTTTCTCTTTTCTGTCCATCTTTTTAAAAACAGCATGTTGATAATTTTTGTTTTGTTCTTTTTCACAGCCTCTGAGAAAGATGGCAGTATAGAGGTCTCAGAACCTGTCGGTAAGTCAAACTGTTCTTTTGTTTTCTTATCATAAGTTAAACACACATCAGTGCCTGTTTCAAGTTACGAGGAGGTTTAATGCTGTACGTTCTTCCTGTTCTTATACATCCCTGTTACACCAACATGAAGATCCTTAACCGAAACTAAAGACACACCCAGGCAGTTTTAATCATAAGTAATATATTAGAAATACTTATTTATTATTATTTATAAATGTACATTGTTTTGAATGAATTTAATGCTCATATAAGCTATAAAGCGATAAAGAAAATAACTTGAGCTGGGCACAAATAAACCGTTTACATAAAATAAACGTATTAAATGACTAAAATGCCTTTTTTTTCTCTTTCAGCCAAAAACTGAAGGTGCCGGTTTTGACCACCTTTAGTCGCTGTACATAATGTAACCAAACAAAGCCCAACAATGTATTTACACATCAGCTTCGTGAGGCGAAACTGCTTTTCAACCTATTGTTTGCAAGCAGCTGTAAAATAAACACTGGTAACAGCAGGGGGAACAAAAGTGTATGTAAAGTTTCCTCTACTGTACCAGGAAAAAAGCTGGTTTAACAAACACATTTCCGCGTCGTATGTAGGCCTGTCACCATTATTATATACAAGCCCGATCACATTTCAGCTGATGGCAACAGTAAACATTATAATATCCATAATTTTGAGCTGGGTTGTATTATATTGTCTTTAAATTGGTAAATTAAAGCGCCCAGAATCATAAAAAAACAAACGTGCCTCAAGTTTCAAACCATTCACTCCTCACTCTAAACAGTCCGTATATAAAGCTGTAAAACAGCCCTTTTTGAATTCATCGTTTCTGTGATGTCGTTAAAAACCAAAGCATTTACACATAACCGCCTAATCACCCTGCATCAGAGCAGCCAATCAGAATGGAGGTCATTTGAATATCAGTCTTAGAGGCAAAACAACAGCCTGTTAAATTCTGGGGGATAAAGTGAGGTTAGAAAATGGTGGCATAGAAATTAATTTTTGGTACATAAAATCACACGAATTTCATGAGTGGACCAAAAAAAATGTAGGATATGAGCTCATTAAAATGCTGCAGTCGGTGATTTTGTTTTAATTAATTGTTGAAACTACAGTTAAATTCTTTTTGAGGGTTAAAAATAAAATGAAGTAAATGCTGTATTGACCTGTTGCTCTATTCAGTTATGAACTAAAGCGTTTAGCTTAATCAACGCTCTACTAAAGTCTGTATACGATATAATCTCTATCACCAGCTCTAATCATGTCAGACTGAGTTTTGGTACCACTTTTGGACTAAAGACTAAACCTATAAAGTGCTTATGAATGGTTTAAAGTGTATTTATTTATTTATTTATTTATTTGTAATTAGGCCATAAAATACCTTAAGCACATAAATAAAATAGTGAACCCAGAATCATTTATACTGTTAAATCTCAGATCTCGCTGGTTAATGATCTCACTCCAAAAACCTCTACCTCCAAAGTGGTAACTTTACAGGAGAAGGAAAAAACCTGCTTTACTTTTAATGTAAGTCAATGGAACCAGACTTTTTTCTCATTTTGGCTGTTACTTTTGGTTCTTTCACTGTGAAATTTGCACACAATGTAAAGAGCAACAGGCATTATGACAAAAGTGGAGATACGAGGTTTTGTTCTGACAGCAGCGTTATTCATCAGATATACCTGGATTAAAGTCTTATAAAGGCTTATTCATGACATTTTAGGTGTTTATGACCCATTATCAGTGGTGGACGAAGTACACAAACCACGTACTTGAGTTAAAGTAGAGACACCCAAGGTAAAATATTACTCCAGTAAAAGTAGAAGTTCCTCCCTTTAGACCTCCACTTGAGTAAAAGTACTAAAGTATTTGCCTTCAAATGTACTTAAGTATCAAAAGTGAAAGTACTGAAAGATTAATTATGACTCTGATGTCCTGTTATCAATTTTGTAACAAGACTCGCTTCATTAACTCAGTTTAGGTGAAAATACTCCAGTGTCTCTCTTGGTAAACCAGTCTTTTAATAGAAGGTCATTAATTAGTGACGCTGATGTCTATTAAAATTATCATAAGCACAAAACACTGAAGGCGAACAGTTTCCATCAGGTAGAACTGAGTGGCTCTGAAATCACTTTTTACAAACAAGCAGAGTTTCAGTTTAAGATTTATTTGCAAGTTTAAGTTTAATAAAAACTTTAAACTCAGATTCACAAATGAGTTTCCTTTACTAAACTGCATCTGTAGGTCTCTGTTCATAAACATAAAGTAGCCTAAACTAATTTACTATAAAATGAAATGTGTTTGTATAAATTCAGAATAAAGACACGTCAGTCACAACTGCATATGAGTACATATTTCTATATTGTGGTCTGTTTACACAAAGTTAGGTTAGTTCATCATTTATGTTGAATAGACTCTCCCAAAATGTTTACGCTGCTGCACTGATGTTGAACCGTGTGCTGCACTGGGTCGGTATGACCAACAGGTCAAAACAAGCTCAAAACAAAGTGACCGCTGTGCCCTGATTGGTGTTTTTGCTTTGCGCTTCTTTCGTTTTGACGTTACGTTTTTATACACACATAAACCAAAAGGAACAACAGATTTCTCATAATGTGGTGGAGTAAAAAGTGAGATATCTGACTTTGAAATGTAGTGGAGTGAAAGAAAAAGTCACCAAAATGGAAAAACTTCAGTAAAGTACAGATACACGAAAAACTACTTAAGTACAGAAACGAATTACATTTACTGGGTTACTGTCCACCACTGCCCCTTATTAACTCATTTTAAGCCATTCATAAACATATATAAGTGTAGTCTTGCTGTAAAGTGGTTTTCGGGTGTGTCGCATTTTTCCGCCATTGCTCTTGAAGCTGTTTCGTTCTTGCTGTGGCGGCGGGCGTCTCTCCAGCCGAGGCTGCTTGGTGGAGCCGTCACTAAGTCATGTTATTACCACCTGAAAACGATCAGGACACCCGCATGGATGTAACAACAGCCGCAGTGACCTCAGGCAGGTGCTGTGTAAATAACGGGGTGTGCGGTTGTGACCTGCGGGTGTTTGTTTTGACAGCAGCTCCTCCGGTGGAGAACGGAGACGCGGAGATGGCGGCGGAGGACAGCTGGGAGCAGAAAGGCTGCGAAGCAGAGCCGGGAGGCGGTGGGCCGGCCGAGGAAGACTCCCTGCAGGAGGAAGTATTGGAGGAGGATGAAGAAGTGCCAACACCTAAAGTAACCCCCGCCCAGCCCAACGCCCCCAAGAAGGAGCACGTCAACGTGGTGTTCATCGGCCACGTCGGTGAGTGCCGTCCCTGCCATCGTATCACTGATGGATGTTATTAAAACGATAGTTTGGAACAAGAAATCAGTGTCAGAACCGCATAAGCAGGTCTATTAGAGCTTACCTGAAGGGGAACTCCACCGATTTTTAAAAATTTTAGCATAACTTAGTGTGTGAGATGTAAACAGAGTGATTCAGAGTGGTTTGGTGTGAAATGGTTCAGATGTCCTCACAGTCGTGGTGATAGGAACCAGGGGTCGCCATGACTACAACACAGATATAGACATTTTATTTACTATCCAGAACCACCAGTGAACCTACACGAGTCTTCTGAGTTTATATGGAATGTTGATGATGGAAAATAGTGGAAAATCTGAAATAATAAGTTTTCTTTGGGGACTATTTTGCCTCACAGCACCCTGCATGTTATGTATCCCTCCCCCATAAATGGATTTAAAGGCCAAAATCTTCTATCATAAAACAGCGTCTCAGTCATCAGGCAGTGAATTCGTAACCATTTCATGTAGTAACTTTCTGTGAGGGAGCTTTTAGAGGTGGACGTCTGGTTCCTATCACCACCACTGTGAACAGTTCTGACTCAGTAAGTTTCTCTAGAACTGAGCGTTTCACACCAAACCACTCTGAACGACCCTGTTTACATCTTTATCACTTAATTATGCAGGAAATTTAGAAAAAATTGGTGACATTCCCCTTTTAACAGCTTGATAGTTTGAAGCAAGCGTGTGATTTAGATGTACAGTTAGCACAATGCTATTTGAAGTACGTTACCCTCGTAGCCCCAGTGCAAAAACGACCGAAGCAAATTTCAGACGCCTCACTTTAAAGGGTGAGTTCAGTGTCTGCACCAAACTGATGGTTATCATAACTTCGGCTTGCCGCGGTGGTGAAGCAGACTCTCATCTGAGTGTCTGAGTAACACCAGCTCTCTGTGCAGACCTGTAACGTGGCCAAGTTTCCACAGCACAGGAAAAAAAGCTCCCAAATTCCTGTTTTATCAGCGGTAGAAAGCCGCTAGAGATAAATGATATAAGGTTAAGGGTGGACGATACGGTAAAAATAAAGCATCGCAATACTTTTCCACGATGCACAATACGTGTTATGATTATTATATTTTTTTGATGTTCGTAAATATACGTGTATGGGCAAAACGTGCCAGGAAAACAGCTACAGAACTCCAGCAGCACTGCTGTGTCTGATCCACTCGCACCAGCGCAACACACACTAACACACCACCACCACGTCAGTGTTACTGCAGTGCTGAGAATGATCCACCACCCAAATAGTACCTGCTCTGTGAGGGTCCATGGGGGTCCTGACCACTGGAGAACAGGGTAAAAGGGGGCTAACAAAGTATCAGAGAAACAGATGGACTACAGTCTGTAACTGTAGAACTACAAAGTGCACCTATATAGTAAGTGGAGCTGATAAAATGGACAGCGAGCATAGAAACAAGGAGGTGGTCATGATGTTATGACTGATCGGTGTATATCAGCTCCAAACATTCCATTTTCCTGGCTAAAAAGAGTCGTTCCAGCGGAATCAGCCAGAATAGAAAGGAAAGCCAGACTAGTGACGGCGTTCCCACGGACTTTGGAAAAGTTTCAGTATTTGTGAGTTGGAGAAAAGAAAATAAGTCCTTGAGAGGGTTTTTGGGAGGGGTGGAGGGTTAGTGGAGCACAGAACGAGGTTAGTTTCGTAATTCATGAAAAAAACTGTCTTTGGGTTTTTGATCATTCTTCACCCACAGTAACAATTATAAAAACAATAATAGTAATGATGATAATAATAATAACTTAATCTACAGAGAGCTTGATAAGCATGTGGTGATGATAGTAAGTGAAATAGTAAGTTTAAAGAAATAAAAGGAACATTTGACAGAAGTAGAAATAAAAATAAAGTGAAAAATATGAACGCAATTATTGTGCGTTATACTTTTAAATAAAAGATAGATTGACATTTTCAGCTTTCTTTAAATTGTGTATCAAACCTGAGAAATTTCCACAGCTCAGAACCACGAAGAGGTCATTTATTATGATCATCATCATTATTACTGTTATTGTTCTGGTTATTGTAAAGCTCAGTGCTCACACTGAATGGCCTGAATGAACACAGAACAGTAGGCACACTGATAGAAAGTGCTGGAAAGTCACATTACAAATAACGTTATTTACTCTGTAATGAGCCAAACTAACTTTTTAAACATAGAATATAAAATAAATAGTGTTCCGTTTACATTACGTGAAGTAAATGATGTGCTCCAGTCATATGCAAAAGTTTATGCACCCCTGGTGAACTCACATTTTGTTGATTTTTCTGTGTGAAAATAAGTTAAAACATCCTCTACAGAGAACACAGTTCATTTTAGGATTACAGGATTACTGTCTGTTTGCGGAGAACATTGAGAAAAACGAAACGGCTTCTGAACAGACCTCATTTACTGCCACATTTAATGTTCTGTTATTTTTTATGTTAAACTCAGCAAATATTTAAGCAGTAGAACCCGAGAGGGAGTGTGTTATCGTGAAATAACATCACGGCTGTGATTTGGTGGCCGTAGATCATCACAGCCGTGATGTTATTGGCGATAACACACTCCTCGAGTGTTCTATTGCTTTTATACAACAGTTAAATAAATAAAGTAATAAATTAATAAACTGGGCCGTGAACGCGGCGTTTAATATGTTTTAATGTTCGCAGTTCCTTCACCAAATTATAGTTCCTTAACGAGCAGCTCGTTGCTACGTCAGAGTAACGAGCTCCGCCCACTCGCTGCACAGCTGGCAGTTCGTTCTCCAGCTCCTTACACTAAATTCCCAAACTGTCATCACCACTGAGCAGCTTTTCAGTCGGCAGCTGTGACAGAAGAACAGCTAAACAACCTGGAATCAGCCAGAAATGAACCCAATACCATTCGCCAAACGTGTAGTCTGATCTTCAGAGTCTGACCAAATCAGACTGAGCCATAAAACTGCTGCAATATCAAGTTCAGCTCAGTTTTGTCAGTTTTTTCCAGATCAGTATTAATGTTGTTTTGTTCCAGCCAGTCTGTAAAGCATCTTACAGCCCATTTAGTTTGGCGAATGGTGTTGGGTTCATTTCTGGCTGATTCCAGGTTGTTTAGCTGTTCTTCTGTCACAGCTGCCGACTGAAAAGCTGCTCAGTGGTGATGACAGTTTGGGAATTTAGTGTGGTCTCATCTTCGGAGTCTGACCAAATCGGCTGTCGGTCAAATGTGATCTTAAGTGTCCATTTTCTGTTTGTGGCAAAGTCACATCAGCTTTGCATGGAACTGTTGTGTAAATAGAAACTGTGCACTAAAATCAGCAGACGAATGCCGTATTCAGTTGTGTTCCCTGTGGAGAATTTACTTTATTTTCACTTAGGGAAAAAAAAACATGGTCAGAAAACATGGATTCGACCAGGGGAGCACAAACCTTTGCATACAGCTGGTTTTAGAACATTTCTTTGGTCCGTTTCTCATGAAGTGTAAAGTAATGTAAAGGTAAAGTGCAGTTGCCGTTTTCAAATGGTTAAAAACAGCCAAGTAAGCTCTGACGTTAACGAGGACGACGTGTTGGTTCAGCACAGACATTTAGATTATAGCTTCATTAGCCTCTCATTCAGCCTCGATACATTTGAAGATCACTCGCAGGTTTTTAGATGAAACAGATGAAGAGACATTGTGTTTTGTTAATCATAACCTTCCTGTTCTAGCAGGACGAGGCTTACGTTGATGTTTGTGGTGAAGATATCCCATAATAAGGGCAGGACCGTGATGATTGATAGGAGTTGTCTCTTTTGAGCTTAATGCAGGTCAGAGATAAGGAGGCATTGATGCCATATTGCAGAATATTTGCCTAAGAAAATGCATTAAAACAGCTTTGGCAAGTGTTTTTAAATGATGCCGACTTTTATTTACAGGCTTTGTTTACATTCAGGCTGTGTTGTTGTTTATCGTGGTTTTGTGAGGATAACTCACTGTATTATAGTCCATACAAACTTATCATTAAACTGTGGAGAACAGCAGGATATAGAGGCGATTATAAGCCTTAATTGTGATTAAAGGGCCCATATCATGGTAAACCTAGTTTCTTCTATTTTTGTTTCTTTAAATATTTTGAGACTAGTATGTAAACAAAACAATCAAAATGGTTCAAAACGTCCCTTTCACTCCCCAGTCCAGACATGAGCTGCTAAAAACAGTCTGTTTTGGATTCAGTATATTTGTGATGTCACAAACAAGACAGTTGAATCTCTCTGAATTAAATATTAAATATTTCATTGACCTATTCAGCCTCCAGCAAGTTAGCCCCTGCCCATTCATGTAGAAGTTATAAGGAAATCTTCAGCTCGGACTGATTTTGAGCAGCCAGTCAGAGTAGAGCTCATTTACATATCTTTTTTGAAGGCACAGGGCACTGCTGAGGGATGAAGAGGTGGGCAAAATTGTCATGTACAAATTTGACAGAATTTGACAGTCTGTTTATTATGCAAATGTCATGAGTGGGCTTGGGGGGGGCGGGCAGTGGGCAGGCATAAAATATAAGAAAAATGCAGGTTATGGGCCCTTTAAGTAAAGGCTGAAAGCTGTTAATGGTTTCAATGTATGTTATTAATATTATTATTATTAGTAGTAGTAGTAGTACTAGTGGTAGTAGTAGTAGTATTACTATTACTAGTAGTAGTGGTAGTAGTATCACTAGTGGTGGTAGTAGTAGTAGTAGTAGTAGTATCACTAGTGGTGGTAGTAGTAGTAGTAGTATCACTAGTGGTGGTGGTAGTAGTAGTATCACTAGTGGTGGTAGTAGTAGTAGTATCACTAGTGGTGGTAGTAGTAGTAGTAGTATCACTAGTGGTAGTAGTAGTAGTAGTATCACTAGTGGTGGTGGTAGTAGTAGTAGTATTACTAGTAGTAGTAGTAGTATCACTAGTGGTGGTAGTAGTAGTAGTAGTATCACTAGTGGTAGTAGTAGTAGTAGTATCACTAGTGGTGGTGGTAGTAGTAGTAGTATTACTAGTAGTAGTAGTAGTATCACTAGTGGTGGTAGTAGTAGTAGTATCACTAGTGGTGGTAGTAGTAGTAGTAGTACCACCAATTCAGCATAAGATGGGCATCCACCCTGCCCCCTCACACTCACCCGTGCCTGAAGAAGCTCTTAAATGTCTTCGTTCAGCTTCCTTTTCCTGGTTCCAGTGATGTGATGTTTTTGGATTTATTGTAGTTCTGACCTCATAACTTCTCTAACACGTTCATATCTCTGTCTGTCCTGGTCTAAACAGTTTAAACTCAGTTCAGTCTCTTTATCTCTCCTCGCTCACCTCCTTATCTCCTGTCCTTCCAGATGCTGGCAAGTCGACCATTGGAGGACAGATCATGTGAGTAGTCGTGTCCGTTGCTGTTGTTGTACATGTGTGGGCTGCTGTGTGGGCTTTTCTCATGGCCCTGTTTCTGCTCCTCTCTCGCAGGTATCTGACGGGCATGGTGGACAAACGGACTCTGGAGAAGTACGAGAGGGAGGCCAAGGAGAAGAACAGAGAAACTTGGTAATTTTTTTAAAAAAGTGTCTGTGTAAATAAATATAACACACACACAGACACTCACTCTGACTGGCCACTTCATTAAGTACACCTTGTATCTACCTACACTCGTCCATTTTATTAATAGAGCTGATCAAATATTTATGGAGCTGATAAAATGGACAATGAGTGAATGAGTGCAAGGAGGTGAACATAATGAAGTGACTGCTCATGGTATTATTATATATATAGTGTTCATATTATATATATATATAGTGTTCATATGATCCACACAGTCCTTCTGACATCCTGTAATACACTACAGGAAGTGTAGGGGGCGATATGAGGGCAGGGTTGATGCTTTATTCCCTTTTTTTTCTCAGGTACCTCTCATGGGCCCTTGATACGAACCAGGAGGAGAGAGATAAGGGTAAAACGGTGGAGGTGGGCCGCGCGTACTTCGAGACGGAGAAGAAACATTTCACCATCTTGGACGCTCCAGGCCACAAAAGCTTCGTCCCCAACATGATCGGCGGGGCGTCGCAAGCCGACTTGGCCGTGCTGGTGAGCAAAGACGCAGCTGTTACTTTATAACTGGGGTGCTAGGACATGTTGACAGTGCTGGCCTTTGCGATCGTGCTAGCTAACAAACTCTTCACAAGGTAATAAATATACAACAGCAGTTGACGCATCAATGTATGATATTAAGGGCTGGATTTGCCAATTTACTTTTTATATTACATATTTTAATACTGCTAAGTATGAAAAATTCTGTGTCATTCAGAACCCAGTAGCTGGTCTGATCAGCATCATTGAGCCACTAAGGCTTCGTTAACACAGCAGGTAAAAGTGGCCCAAATCTGATCTTTTTCTTCATATGTGACTCAGATGTGTGTCCGTGTGAACAGATAAACACACTGAATCTGACGTTTTCAATCCTGATTTGAGACGCTTTCATATGTGGTACTGAAATCTGATACGTGTCCGATCTGCGGCAGTGCGACTCAGTTTGAACAGCCAGTTCAGAATTCAGATTTGGGCCACTTTTACCTGCTGTGTAAACTGTAGCCTAAGTGCGCTTGATCCAAAATCTAGGCTGCTGATTGGCTGTTCGTTGCTATTTAATTACTATCTTTTGCATTAAGTACATCCACTTCCAGAAACACCGCTAACATTTTTGGTTTAAACCACACTCACTTTCAGTTTGTAGATTAAAGGAATATTGTAATACAGAATTGTTTTTTTTTATTGCTTAGAATCAGACTAAGGCCCAAAACGTACTTCACACAAGAACACAAACAAACTCACTGTGCGTTATTACGTTACTCTAGGGGGCGATAGAGGGCAAATCGGAGAGGGATCTACTGAGCTAAACATGGCCAGTAGAGGAGAGTGAGCTGCTGTACCTCCTCTCTTGGATTGGAAATGCGATAATTGATCATATTTGTCGTCTTTGCTTGAGACTCAACTGCTCTTCTGCTGTGGCAGTTGAGAAACTTGCTGGCGGTACAAGAGCGCTTGGTCCGGCTTGGCTGTCGTTATAGCGCCCCCTGCTCTAACGCTCAGATTGCAGCTCGTGCTTGCATCGCGTTATGAAATGCATTGTGATGCATTTTTCAATGCAGCTACACGTGAAACCCCGTCTGCGCAGCTCGAAGCGTCTGCATTTGCGTCGCTGAGTGAAGTACGTTTCGGGCCTTACTTTAAGCTATAAAATACACGAAACGTCACCGTGTAGCTGAACACATGAGTTGTCTAACACGTCACATCACACCGTCTCCTAAACCACATCAACAAGCCTGCGCAACTGTAATGAGGACCTGGATGTGCTTTGATAGAAATTTTCGGGGATGTGTTTTGGGTGACTATTGGCTTTAGGTGTTAGTTAGCAGCGTTAGCCTCATAGCTCCGGTTTAGAACTGAAGAAGCTAAATTTGCACTTCAGTCATGTCTTGGCTGATTGTTTCTTATAAGGTGGTTGCTACATTATTCATGGTAGATGCTGTATAGTTCATAGTATATACTGAAAATTTCACAAAAGATTCAGAATAATTCATAGTGGTTATTAAATAATTCATGGTAGATACTGAAGACTTCATAGTAGATACTAAAGAATTCATGGTAGAGTAATTCATAGTAGATACTGCAGAATTCATGGTAGATACTGAAGAATTCATAGATACTAAAGAATTCATGGTAGAGGAATTCATGGTAGATACTGAAGAATTCATAGATACTGAAGAATTCATAGATACTGAAGAATTCATAGATACTGAAGAATTCATGGTAGATACTAGAGAATTCATGGTAGATACTAGAGAATTCATGGATACTAAAGAATTCATGGTAGAGTAATTCATGGTAGATACTGAAGAATTCATGGTAGATACTGAAGAATTCATAGTAGATACTAGAGAATTCATGGTAGAGTAATTCATAGTAGATACTGCAGAATTCATGGTAGATACTGAAGAATTCATAGATACTAAAGAATTCATGGTAGAGTAATTCATAGGAGTTACTGAAGAATTCATGGTAGAGTAATTCATAGTAGATACTGAAGAATTCATGGTAGAGTAATTCATAGTAGATACTAAAGAATTCATGGTAGAGTAATTCATAGGAGACACTGAAGAATTCATGGTAGATACTGAAGAATTCATGGTAGATACTGAAGAATTCATGGTAGATACTGAAGAATTCATAGGAGATACTGAAGAATTCATGGTAGAGTAATTCATGGTAGATACTAAGGACTTTATGGAAGATACTACAAAACCAATCTTTTGTATCCGTTTGCACCTCTGAGCTCTAATCACTGGTGTTTCAGTTCTGTAGCGGTCAGTAGGGGGAGCTGTTTAAATGCAAATGTCACAGATCTGCCAGAAAGTGATTAAACGTTCACACATGCTGATTCAGTGAGGATTACAGTGTTCAGTTACACATGGCCAGGGTTTGATTACAGTACACTGAGCGCTGACTCTGCCCTTCTGCTGCTGTGCAGGTGATTTCGGCGCGGAAAGGCGAGTTTGAGACGGGATTTGAGAAAGGAGGCCAGACGCGAGAGCACGCCATGCTGGCTAAAACCGCGGGGGTCAAACACCTGATCGTTCTGGTGAACAAAATGGACGACCCCACTGTGAACTGGAGTTTGGAGAGGTGAGCCCAAGGTCGTCCATAATAAGGGTCCACTGATCACAGCCTGCCTGCTGGGTGTGGGTTTGTTTATGTGCCTCCTGCATGACCTTCTGTCTGCTTTTGGGTTGTAAGCTGAGTTTGTTGTGATGTTAACATGCATACAGATGAGCTGACTCAAATAGATCAATACAGCAATGTTTTTATCAATTTTTTTATTATTTGCACAAGAAGGTATGGTAAAGAAAGCAAAATGCAAACAATAAAAAGCAACAAAAAAGAGAATGTGTAGCAAAAGTAGTATTTTTCCCTAAAAAATAAAATGTTTAAATTGAATTAAATAAAAACAAGCACACAAAAACAATAAAAAAAAACACAAACAGATGTTCTACATTTGGGTTTGTTGTGGTGACAGCAGTTGAGGTTATCCTGTTGGAACATTTTATAATATTTAATAAAATATGCAGTCATTTATTTCCCAAATTAATAATTTCGGATTTTCAAATAACAAAAATCTAAAAATAAAAATATATTCCGCCATAGTCCACCTCTAAGTGAAACTCTTCCTGTTAATTGTTTGTGTACTGGTAATAAATCCATGGTGATATTTGAGATTTTGCGACGCATATTGAAGATTTCCTGTCTTCCTTAAAAAAACCATAATCAGCTTGTGAGGTCAGAGATTTGCTCTCCTGGTTGTTTGTTTACTTTTATAATTAAGTAGCTGCTCTGATCAGGAAACTTTGCCCACAGATATGAGGAATGTAAGGAGAAACTGGTGCCATTTTTGAAGAAGGTCGGGTTCAACCCCAGAAAAGACATTCATTTCATGCCGTGCTCGGGACTGACCGGGGCCAACCTGAAGGAGCCAGCTGAACACTGCACCTGGTACACGTAAGTGGAGCACTGTTTAAACGGCACAAACTCAACACGGATGATGTTTACATATTTAACTCCTTAAAGTCTATAGGGTTCAAATATTGTGACTCTACATAACCTAAACATTAGTTTCATATAGTAGATGCGGAATAATTTATAGTAGTTGCTGAATAATTCGTAGCGGATGCTGAATAATTCCTAGTGGTTATTGAATAATTTATAATAATTGAATAATTAAAAGTAGATGCTGAATTATTAATAGCAGATACTAATAATATTATTAAGATTTACTAATATAACCTAAATTTTGGTTACATTTTCAAAATTTCTTTTGCATTGTTTGTCATTAAATGTTAGCAAAATAGTGAATGGCAGAAAATATAGAAAAGAAGAAAAAAAACGTTTCTAACTTTCCTATGACTGTAACTACATACAACCAACAAAATCATTGTTCATAATGTGAATGTATTTGTGTATCTGTTTACAGAGGGTTACCATTCATTCCACATCTGGACAGTTTGCCAAATTTCAACAGATCCAGCGACGGCCCAGTGAGGTTACCGATCGTAGACAAATACAAGGTTAGGCAACCGTGTGTGGTTTTATCTGAGATGCATTTTCATCAGCTGTGATGTTTTGTGTCTTTAAGGTAAAACATTGTTGTGAAAGCTGTTTTAAATGGGATCGTTCTTCTCCTTTAGGACATGGGCACTGTGGTTTTGGGGAAGTTGGAGTCGGGGTCCATCAGTAAAGCCCAGCAGCTCGTAATGATGCCCAACAGGGTACGTATGTCCACGATGAACCACACCTAACATGAGCATCGGTTCCAGATTGGCATTGTTCAACTGTCCAGCTCAGTAATTCACTCTGCATCTTACGGTGTGGAGTGATATAAGTTTATACCCCAATAATTTGCACCAACCAAGCTGCGTTCATAAATTATACACTTGCCTCAAACTGTATTGAGTTATTTAAGGGCCCATATTATGGAAAAATGATTTTCTTTGCTGTTTTGAAAGGAGTTTGATGTGTTGTTCGTTTGAAAACATTACTTACACCCCCGACTCCCAACCTGGTCCATTTTAAATTGTGATGTCAAAAAAAGTCGCCTCTAGCGCCCCCTGTGTTAAATAAAAATGTTCAGAGCCCGATACGTTTTGTCCTGTGAACATTCTTCTCTCGAATACCACTGGATCCTCTGAATTATGAGTTTGTTAAAGAGCCTTAATGCTAATATTGCTACATGCGAGCTAAAGCTACTGCGCATTAATTTGATGTCACTAAGCTACATGAATCTAAGGCGGGCTGTGGCGGTGCTCTGACAAGCTGAGCTACCTTTTCAAAATCTTCTCCCGTAGCGCATAATTACAGGTAAACCCATAAATAAAACCTCTAGGTGGGATATTTTGATAGACTAAAACTCCTTATCAAAAATACTACCAGCATTAAAACTACGAGGCTGAATTTAGCTTCTTTTTCACAGCTTCTTGTTTGAATGTTCCCGTTCCACCTTAAATGGTGCAGCAGCTGTGACTGGCTATCACAAACATTAGCAAACGACAGAATACTGACCTGTCGGTTCTGTGAAACAGCAGAAATAATTTAATGTTAATTTAATGTAAATAGAGAAACCTCCTCATATCAGGCCTTTCAACCCTCCATGAAGCTGAACTCAGCTTCTTTTTCTCCAGCTGCTTGTTCCAATTTCCTTGTTCCACCTAAATGGCGCAGCAGTTCAGAACGTGACTGCTGCACCACTTAAGGTGGAACGGAAAAAGTCTAACAAAAAGCTGGCGATTGTCCTCAGAGAACCAGCATTAAAATAGTAATCAGGATATTCTGAGAGCCTAAATCAGTTTATCAGGGGTGAGCAGTGATCATTAAGCTGAGTCTGTACCGGATCAGCCTGAGTACGTTTGTAGATCTTTTCAAATCAAGCTAAAAGGAGAGATCTATCGTGTTTCAGTGAGCATCGGATGAAGAACAGAGAACTGCAGGGAAACCTGCTGATTTTGTTCTGACTTCTTTTCGTCTGCCCTCAGTCTGAACATGGAAATGTACACTGAGAAAGCCGGATTAAGGTGGCCAGTCTAATGACGTGAATTCAGAGCGCAGTAGCTTTAGCTCACATCTAGCAATATTCATATTTCAGCTCTTTAACAACCTCGTAATTCAGAGGATCCAGTGATATTCGAGAGGAGAATGTTCACAGGACAGAACGTGTCGGGTTCTGAGCACTTTTATTTACCACAGGGGGGCGATAGAGGCGACTTTTCAAAAAACCCTATTCATTCTGGCCCATAGAGAAATGGAGCTCAGACCCGGAGTTCCTAATATGGGCGTAAGAGCATGGCGCCGACTACAAATTGTCGACACGACTACAGTGGTCTATTATAAAGTGTGTTTCAGCCTGAGGCACAATACAGAACAGCCAGTCAAAACACAGTTCAATTCAATTTGACTGTTTTTGGTACATTAACCCACACAGATGTTATTAGTGAGCTTCGGGGCGAAAAGCCTGTTATCTCAGCCTCCTCCTGTAGAAAACTGTTCTATTTCTCCTCTCTCGTGCAGCACACTGTGGAGGTTCTGAGCCTGCTCTCTGATGACGTGGAGACGGACGATGCCGGTCCTGGAGAGAACCTGAAGCTTCGCCTGAAAGGCATCGAGGAAGAGGAGATCCTGCCGGGCTTCATCCTCTGCACCGCCGAAAGCCTCTGCCACTCCGGACGCACCTTCGACGCCCAGGTGAGAGTTACCTCTGCGAAGCCCTGGAGGATGAGAACTGGGCAGTCATTTCTGGTATTCAGATATCCAGAGTTTTCAGCTGGTGGTACTTGAATATTTCACTGACAGCGTTTCCTGTTTCTATGTATATTTAAGATGTAACATTTATTTACGTCATGCAGCTGACATAAGAGGTGATCTGTACCTGACTGCTTAGTTAAATCACTGCTTTTTCCTAAGTTTACGACCAATTTACTGGGTTATCTTAGTGATTTAGGCTGATTTGGTGATTTATCTTTGCATTTTGAGTTGAGTTTGTGAAATATATTTGAGTTTTAGGCCAGTTCGGTGTGATACAGTACAGTAACTTGTGTTTAATTCAAAATACGTCCGTGTTAATCTGCTCTCATTGAGCTTTTTTTCTTTTTTTAACACATTTATTTACCTGAATATGTAAACAGATACTAGGAGAGTTTGAATGTACTTAAATAACCAAGCGAGGCACTTCATTTATTTTTTTGGGCGGGTTTTTGTGTTGTATGAGTTCTGCGTTCCTAATCTGTTTTTATTTGCTTGTTTTCACAGATAGTCATCATTGAACACAAATCCATCATCTGTCCAGGTTACAACGCCGTTCTGCACATTCATACCTGCATCGAGGAAGTTCAAATCACGGTAAAGCTTCTGACAGCTCTGAGTCGTGGTTCTGCTCTCTGTTTAGAGGAACGGATTCGTGAGTTTTAGAATAATTTGCGCTTGTTTGAAAGGAAATTATCTGAAGAAGAGCTTAGGCACTGAAAAAGTAGCACATTTGTACTCGTAGTAAGAAAACCATCATTTTAAAGGAGAGGGAGAGGAATAGTCTTGACTTAATGTCTCTGAATGCTGTTTAACCTCTTCAACTCCTTGAGACCACCGGTGGTTCCAAAACGCACTTCGTCTTATTCTTTATAACTTTCGTATTTCATAAGCTACATTCTAAAGGTGGGAATCGTATGAGAGCTGTAACTGTCTTCTCTCCAGTCAAATAGATGGGTGATATGATTTTCCTACTGAAAGTCGACCCATTTTTCCACAAATCTGGGCTGTAAACTATAAACAGATGGCGTCTCTTCAGTGATCTGCTCTGTACAAATTATTTTTATAAAATAATACAAAGAGCGTCTAAGATTTTTGGCTTTTCAGCAGTAAATTGTAAGCATATAGCAATATGTTTATAATCATAAAACACACGTTCTGTTAATTTGAGGAGAGCTTTTACAAAAAATAAATAAAACAAAAATCTACATTTATTTCATGCAGTTACTGAATAATCTGCCTTACGATTTGGTCATGAAAATTCAGATGGACAGACCAAAAATATACCCTGGAGAACAAGAGGTTAAAAACTTGAACAGACCAACAGAAAAACGCAAACTGTTCATCACGAAATGTTTTGGGGATGCACTGAAAAAATGGGAAATGTGAGCCAATATTTGATTTTTCCTGTGTCTCTAATCACCAAAACGTTCTTCTCTCGTCTGCTCAGTAGCTAAACACATCAAATATTGGGTCAGCTGTAAACATCTGTTTTCTGCAGATCTGTATGTGGGAACATTTTAGGGATGCACACATCAGAATCGTAGCGGTTTCAGCATCAGACAGACGTTTACATTTGACCTGATTTATGATGTATTTAGTAATAAATAGCATCTTTGTCATATTGCCTGTATGGGGAGAGTCGTGGGCTGGAGGTTAGGGAACCAGCCTTGTGACCGGAAGGTCGCTGGTTTGATCCCCTGAGCTGACAGTACGTGACTGAGGTGCCCTTGAGCAAGTCACCTAACCCCCAACTGCTCCCCAGGTGCTGCGGATAGGGCTGCCCACCGCTCCGGGCAAGTGTGCCTACTGCCCCCTAGTGTGTGTGTTCATTAGTGTGTATGTGGTGTTTCACTGCACGGATGGGTTAGATTGCAGAGGTGAAATTTCCCCACTGTGGGACTAATAAGGGTCTCTTAATCTAATCTAAGGTACTTCAGGGATGGGCTTTTCAGTCAAATTTGATGTCCAAATTTTTAAAGAATTATTAATGGAAACTTTTCGAAAAGTTTTTACAGAGAAAAGAGTCAGTCTATAGTTTTTAACATAAATCATCACCTCGAATTTCACCTGATAACTTTAATCTGGGAAACAGTGAGTTTGTGAAGAGACCTGATAAATTTATTAAACGATGCTAAAAGTTTTATAATAAATTTGAGCGATTAGAGTGTAAAATGAGCTCAATTTTGATGTTATTGGTGCTTTTCTGCAATGCTTACTCTGCGCTGTATCTGCGCTCTATGCTTTTTGCTACCCAGCGCCAAAGAGAGACCCTCTGCTGGTGCACTTTGTGTGGACTAAACAGATAAGAAACTCTGACCAAAACACAAGACTGAGCTCTACGCTGCCCTCTGGTGGAGTTCAGGCAGCTCCTGGTTCTCATGAGAATGTAGGATGTTTGAGAAGCTCATTTGCATATGAAAATGTCCTGGCTATTTGAATAAACAAATGTTCTGGCTCCTCCCATGTGTGCGTTGCCATGTAGTGCTGTGGTTATTGATGTGTCCTGTGTCTCTCCTGCAGGCCTTAATCTGTCTGGTAGACAAGAAGACGGGCGAGAAGAGTAAGACGCGACCTCGCTTCGTCAAACAGGACCAGGTGTGCATCGCCCGCCTCAGAACCGCCGGGACCATCTGCCTTGAAACCTTCAAAGATTTCCCCCAGATGGGTCGTTTCACCCTGAGGGACGAAGGTCAGTCCTGTCTTCTTAAATAGTGTCCTGCACTGTGGAGCTGGAGCACCAGAACGGCTCATGATACTCGTGTTCTAGGAAATCTGAGTCACCCAAATCACGATTAGGTTTTGGAAATCAGATATACGGACATTAAAAACACACGTTCGCACCATTTCCCCTCTTATCCCAAGAGGGGAAATGATTGTCTAGGACAGGCATGTCAAACTGGCGATCGTCCAGGCCAAAGTGCTGTGGAGATCAGCGTTTAACCTCATCTGACGCTCTGAATTCAGTTCATGAAGGTCTTGCTAATTAGCTGATGAGCTGAATCAGGTGTGTTTAATGAGGCAGTGTTTCGGACCATTTTACAGACATTAAGGGTCACACAGTAATGTATCATTTCACATACACCTTTTACAGATCGCTGCTGTGGGAACAAAACCCAGCATCCCCAAAGTGAGAACTTTACAGGAAAAGGAAAAAATATGCTTTACTTTCAATGTAAATCAATGGAACCAGAATTTTTTCCAAGTAATTTTGGGTCGTTTCTTTTGGTCCATTCATCACGAAATTCACACACAATGTAAAGAAAGACAGGCCTTTTCAAATTATGTCAAAACAAGAACAAAAATGGAGATATGAAGGTTTTGTTCTGACAGCAGCGACATCCACTCAGTTGCTTAATATTCCATATGCAACATAAACATAAGCCTTTCCATTGAACAAATGTCACGGACGATTTATATCTATTGTTTTTGTGTTGGGGATCCTGCAGCATCCATTTTCTTATTTTAATGGCCATCAGTGATATTTTAAGGAGGTATTTGTCCATCTTTCCTACTAATTGGGGTATTTTCCCAAAATAAAGATTCACCCATGAAGACTCGGACGTCATTCCAATTATGTTCCCTAAAGCATTTCCAATCAATTGCCTAAACGAAGCAATCGTTGGACAGCCCCCCAAAAAAATCTGAAAATGATGAGCTGTCCGAGTATTGCGCTGCCCCTGGTGACTTCCTTTCTCCATCAGAGCTCTTCTTTTAGGAGTATAAAAGACCTAATTAAACATTTCCAATTAAAGCTGCTATACAGAAGTTTGAACACCCCTGGTCAAATTATGCTTCGTTGATTTAAGTAGGTTAACACGTCACCTACAGAGAACACACCTAAATATTTCCGCAAAAATGTGCTGTAACTTTGGCCACATTTTACATTTTATTTTTTTCTCCTAAATTGTTAAATTGAGCAAATAAACAGTAACTGTGTGTTAAAATGTGCAGAAGTGTGTCTCTGTGAATGATGTGTTGATTTGCTTTCACTTAGACAGTCAACAAAACGTGGAATTTGACCAGGGGCGCCCAAACCTTTCCAAAAACCGTAGATAATTGTTGTTTTGTAATAAAATAACAGTCGTATTTTACCAGTGCTGTACTTTGCATCATTGTGCTTAGAGGTGTGGTTGTTTTTCCCCGCAGGGAAGACCATTGCCATCGGGAAAGTGTTGAAGCTGGTTCCGGAGAAGGACTGAACGCACTGCATGGTTGTTGTGGAACAGCTGAAGGAGGCGGAGAGGTGGGTGTTGCCGTAGCAACACGATTCGCACAGCCTTCCTGCCTCCAGAAGACCAGCGTTTAAAACAAACAAAAAAAAAACACACAAAAAAACAAAACAAAAAAACTTCTTCTCTAAAAACAAATCTGTTTTTAAGCAAATGACAAAAAAATGAGATCAGTCCACACATGTCAGCTTTCTCATATTGAGAGCTCAGCGATGCCATGTTGTTTAGGGTTGCCCCCCTTTATGACCTTTTGACCTTTTCCTCACCAGCCTCCAAGACACACACAGTCAGCAAGAGATGCAGCTTTTAAAAAACAGTGAGTCATAATTTTTTTTTCTTTTTCTTCCTCAGAGAAATACAGTGGCAGCAGATACCATAAAGATGTGGACCAGTTTGCTTGTGTAACGAATAAAAAGAGAATAAGTTACAGACAGTAAAGAAGTTTTGAAATGATTAACCAGTTGAAACCAAAATGTTGATATTGTGCGTCTCCCTTTGCTTCTACACACTTGGGTTTCTCTTCTCATAGCGTTCCTGCGGAGTGCACGGGCGTGCTCACATGTTATTAAAGCAACTTCTATGACAATAAAATATTAAATTGGAGAAATTATATGATCACTGTTGCATGGACTGACTTTCTTTAATTGAGGAATTTAGTAAACAGAGAGATTCAGAGTGGTTTGGTGTGAAATGGTTCAGATGTCTTTACAGTGGTGGTGATAGGAACCAGGGGTCGCCATGACTACAACACAAATATAGACATTTTATTTACTATCCAGAACCACCAGTGAACCTACACGAGTCTTCTGAGTTTATATGGAATGTTGATGATGGAAAATAGTGGAAAATCTGAAATAATAAGTTTTCTTTGGGGACTATTTTGCCTCACAACACCCTGCATATTATGTATCCCTCCACCATGAATGGAGGTTTAAGGCCAAAATCTTCTCCAAACTATCATAAAACAGTGTCTCAGTCATCAGGCAGTGAATTCATAACCATTTCATGTAGTAACTTTCTGTGAGGGAGCTTTTAGAGGTGGACGTCTGGTTCCTATCACCACCACTATGAACAGTTCTGACTCGGTCAGTTTCTCTAGAACGGAGCGTTTCACACCAAACCACTCTGTTTACATCTTAACCACTTAATTATGCAGAGATCTGTAGAACTTTGTGTTACACACTTAAAATTATGGGTTCTGTAGTAAAGAAAATGGTTTTATATAGAACCATGAACACCATAAGCAGTCATGAACAAGTTCTTCAGATTGATGGTGAATGTGTTGAATATGGTTCTATATTAAGAACGCTTACATGATGCAATGAACCCTTTAATCATGCAAAGGGTACTTTGAGCGTTCATGGGTCTGTGAAGAACCCTTTTTAGTGCTACATAAAACCATCTACAGCACATTCTAAAGAACCCTTTCATGATGAACACTTCAATCATGCAAAGGCTTCTTTAAATGTTCATGGTTCTATGCAGAACCTTTGTAAAAAGGGTTCTATTGTTATGGTGTCAAGCTTGTAATAATGTAAGAGCCCTTTTTGTGAAGCTGTATAGAACCATGTACAACATTCTCCATCAATCTGAAGAACCCCTTCATGATGCAAAGGGTTATCTGAATGATCACGGTTCTATATAGAGCCATTTTCTTCACTAAAGAACCCTTGAAGCACCATCATGTTTAAGTGTGTTGCCTGGTGGAACGTTGTTGATAATGATCAGCATGTCAGTCATATGTTTAAATTAATTGAGTGTCGGGATTAAAGTGGCACATTCGGTTACTTTATGCTCACAGCAGCACTGCTCTGTCTGATCCACTCAGACCAGCACAACACACACTAACACACCACCACCACGTCAGTGTTACTGCAGTGCTGAGAATGATCCAGCACCCAAATAGTACCTGCTCTGTGAGGGTCCATGGGGGTCCTGACCACTGAAGAACAGGGTAAAAGGGGGCTAACAAAGTATCAGAGAAACAGATGGACTACAGTCTGTAACTGTAGAACTACAAAGTGCACCTATGTAGTAAGTGGAGCTGATAAAATGGACAATGAGCGTAGAAACAAGGAGGTGGTCAGAATGTTGCAGCTAATATATGTATATTAGATTTAGTGCATGCAAGAATTAAGTCAGTACCTTCTAATTATAGATGCATAATAACGAAATAGATTAATATTTCTGTAATATCTAATTACATTATCATATAAGTGAAACCTGCATTTGTCTAGTTCTGTAATTTGATATATATTAATTAATTACCGCGTAATACTGGTCGATTTATCAGAAACACCTACACTTTAAAAAAAGGGATGGTTCTTCAGGGGTTCTTAAGTAAATAAAATGGTTTTATATAGCACCAAGAAGGGTTCTTCTACTGTTACAAGCTTGACATCTTAACGACAGAAGAACCCTTTTCAAAAAGGTTCTGTATAGAACCATGAGCACTCAAAGAACCCTTTGCATGATTAAAGTGTTCAGCGTGAAAGAGTTCCTAAGAATGTTCTGGAGATGGTTCTATGTAGCACGAAGAAAGGTCCTACTGTTAAAAGCTTGACATTGCAACAATAGTTCTATGTAGAACCATGAACACTCAAAGTACCCTTTGCATGATTGAAGGGTTCTTTACATCATGTAAGGGTTTTTAAGAATGTGCTGTAGATGGTTCTATATAGCACCAAGAAGGGTTCCTCTACTGTTACAAGCTTGACATCATAACAACAAAAGAAACACTTTTCAAAAATGTTCTATATAGAACCATGAACACTCAAAGAACCCTTTGCATGATTCAAGGGTTCATTGCATCATGTAAGGGTTCTTAACAATGATCTGGAGATGGTTCTATGTAGCACCAAAAAGGGTTCTTCTATTGTTAGAAGCTTGACATCGTAACAATAGAAGGACCCTTTTTGGAAAAGGTTCTATATAGAACCATGAACACTCAAAGTACTCTTTGCGTGATTGAAGGGTTCTTAACATCATCAAAGGGTTCTTTAGAATGTGCTGTAGATGGTTCTATATAGCATCAAGAAGGGTTCTTCTATTGTTGCAAGCTTGACATCGTGACAAGAGAAGAACCCTTTTCAAAAAGGTTCTGCATAGGACCATGAACACTCAAAGAACCCTTTGCATGATTAAAGAAGGGTTGAAGGGTTCAAGAATGTGCTATAGGTGGTTCTATATAGAACCTTTTTGAAAAGGGTTCTTCCATTGTTTACGATGTCTAGCTTGTAACAACAGAAGAACCCTTTTCAAAAAGGTTCTGCATAGAACCATCAACACTCAAAGAACCCTTTGCATGATTAAAGAAGGGTTGAAGGGTTCAAGAATGTGCTATAGGTGGTTCTATATAGAACCTTTTTGAAAAGGGTTCTTCCATTGTTTACGATGTCTAGCTTGTAACAACAGAAGAACCCTTTTCAAAAAGGTTCTATATAGATCCATCAGCACATTCTGAAGAGCCCTCACGTGACACAAAGAACCCTTAAATCATGCATGGGTACTTTGAGTGTTCACTGTTATACAGAACCATTTTCTTCACTAAAGAACCCTTAAAGAACCATCTTTTGCAGGTTTACAGACTGTATCAAACAGTTACTGTTATTCCATCACTTATATGTCTGTATTATATATTTTTCCATTTAACCCCATATTGGAGGTGCAGCAGCATCACCGGCTCCGCTGCTGATGATGTGTCCAGTCTGACCTGTTGCTCATCTAAACAGTCCGGAGATTTACGGCTTTAATCGCAGCTCTCTTTGAAGCACAAATAGGACAGCATGTTGCTGACCTCGTGCCAGATGTGCACAGATGTTTAAAGAGTCACCCAGCGGGGGTGTGGCCTCATCCTGCTGCATTTATTCAGCATATACAGCACCGAGGTTCCACAGAGAGCCAGCAGGATCCTCTCCGGACCCCCTTTTATGGACCACTGACGTTTGAGTAAGTCATTTTGCACATCGTGGGCAGCTGTAGGTTGTTTATTGTTTGTGTAGTTTTAAATGCAGCCGTGTGGACGTGAATATTCACTGTAGATGGCGGTGTGGACTGACCAGTTGCACTAAACAATATTTAGACACTGACCGGTTGTAATGAGTAGAATATTATGTACGGGATGGTAGTTTTATGTCGTACCCAGTTGTACTGAATAGAATCTTTAGCTACTGACCGATCACGCTGAATAGAATTTTTATGTACTAACCAGTCCTACTGAGGATAGTGTTTATGTATTGACCAGTCGCACTGAATCGAATATTATGTACCGGTCACTTGCGTTTATGTCCAGACCAGTTCTACTGAATAGAATTTTCATATACTGACCAGTTGTACTAAATTTATATTGCGTTTGTGGAAATTCTATATAGTGAATCACACCGAATACAGTGTTTAAGTACTGACCAGTCGCACTGAAAAGAATGTTTGGGTACTGACCAGTCATACTGAATACAACGTTTGGGTGCTGAACAGTTGCACTGAATAGAATGTCTACTGGTCAGTTTTACTAAATATAATTTTTATGGACTGACCAGTTGTACTAAATTTGTATTGTATTTGTAGTAAATGGTCATATTGAATGCAATGTTTAAGTACTGCCCAGTAGTACTGAATAGAATGTTTATGGACTGACCAGCTCTACTGAATTTATTTTTACACTGCCCAGTTGTACTAAGTTGGTCTTGCATTTATAGAATTTATACATAGTGTATGGTCATACTGATTAGAATGTTCAAGTACTGACCCGTCGTACAGAATACAGTTTAAATGTACTGAGTAGAGTTTTAGACACTGACCAGTTGCACTAAATAGAATGTTTGGGTACTGACCAGTTGTACTTAATAGAATGTTTAGGCACTGACCCATCATACTGAATAGAATGTCTATGTACTGACCAGTTTTACTCAATATAATTTTATGTACTGACCAGTTGTACTACATTTGTATTGTATGTGTAAAGCTTGTTTGTAGTGAATGGTCACATTGAATGGAATTTTTAGTACTGCCCAGTAGTACTGAATAGAATGTTAATGGACTGACCAGTCGCAATGAATACAATGTTTAAGTACTGACCTGTCAAACTGAAAAGAATGTTTGGGTACCGGCTAGTTGCACTGAAT